TTGTCTCACTTTTCAGTTGGTAATCTCGTAGAGTGCGATGAGTTGCGGTAATAGCACATACATACATACATACTCAATTTTGGCAGTTTTTCACAAGCTGGCACTAGACTGCCATCAGACACAACTGAGAATTCGTCGGATTTGCTATGCGGCGTGTCGGTAACCTTTTCACTTTCCCGTTGTTGCACACAACTGCCTTCTTCCTCTCTGCTATGCGACCGGGCTCAGCTGCTGTTGGTTTCAAAGGCCATAAACATATACAGACAAGTCCCTGCAAAAAAAATTGTGAGACTAATCTCTAAAGAGAGTATTACGATATTACTCTCAATCGGGTACAATTGGGCATTAATTAGTCGCAACTAGTCTCATACGGGTATAATTGGAGATCAATTAGTCCCCGATTCATCGCTAACGGGTATTATTGACGATTTAATGTACGCACTTCCTCAATGAAATTTCATGTGCGGCGTTGGCACAGAGAGAGAGTATACGTTTAACAAAACTGTGAACCTCGGGTTCGAATCGCAGCTGGCGCAAAATTTTTATTTTTATTTTTTAAAAGTGACTAGTCGCATTTTATAAAGGTGAACAATTAGTCTCTTCCCCTCTCTCCAACAAAAGATGAATATTTATAAAAATATAGTAAAGGAACATATTATTACAATAGCTTACATCATCTTCAAAAATTTATAGTATAGGCCAACTTTGAGTCGTTCAACATGGAAACAATACCAATTTTTTCAAAAAACTTTTTCGAAATTTTTTCCGAAAAACATTTTTTTTTTTGTACTTTTCGCAATTATTTTTTCAAAAATCGACGTCATGGTCGACATAAACAAAGGTATTTATGTGCCTTTTACAATAATATATAATTTGTGCTCCATAACATCTACATTAATCCGATTTTCACTATCTTAGACTCAAAATTTACTGTAATGATATATCTTTTGTTATTGATTTTCACAAATTATGAAAAAAATAATCAAATAAAATAGTGTAGTTGATTGAAAGTCCCACTAATAATTTTCAATGAAAATGGGCACAATTTATATATTTTGGTAAGAGGCACATCAATACCTTACGAACTGTAAGTCGCTCACGTTGATTGGGTGATTTTTTCATGAGATATTGAAGAAAAGTTCCGAAAAGTACCAAAAAACACTTTTTGAAAAAATCCATCTCTGTCTGTTAATTTTAAAATATCGTTCAAATGCGGGACATATGCGGGACACTTGGAAAAAATCAGTACATTGTAAGGTTTTTCTGTTTTGAAAAACTACGCTGGACCGACCTTTGAATAACAGTACGGTCCTGCAAAAAATAGAACGGATGGTCACCGTATTTATATTTGAATTTTGTCCAACGCAATGCTGCAGTACTTAAGTGCGTTGCCGACGCAGCAGACCGAATAACTGATATGTATTTTTTTGTAGTAGTGGGAGAAGCAAGCACCAACGAAGTGTGCGCTTATGATGGCATCGTCAACGGTTCATAAAATCTTTAATGAGTTCATATTTCCTTTTTGAATTTTTCGAGCTTTCGCTTGTTTTTGTGTGTAGTATATATGTTACCGGCCAAACCCGATCTTAAGGCAAACTAATTTTTCCAGGGCGAATCTAGTTCTATTTAGATTCGATACATCCGTCTAACCCGAAATCAAGTTGGACGCAACAATATTGTGGACTCTGTAGTTGGAGTTGGAGTGCTCAAAACAAGTTTGTCCTAAGATCGGATTCGGCCAGTAACATATAACATAACATAATCAGTGTGTACTACACACATGTGTATCGGTAATGTTTTTTTTTTTTTTTCTCAGCAAAATTCTCCTATACCCACGTACATATACATATGTAAAGCTGTACATCTTCTAGAATTTTCCTATTCTCAAATTTTACAACCACTTTTGCAGTTTCAGCTTGCTGTCGTCTCTCCTTTCTTGCGCCCTTGCAAATATCATTGTAATTTTTTTTTGTTGCTTTGCTTTTGTTTTTGATGTCGGTTGGCCGTCACTTATGACGGCTCTAGTGGCTGCATTAGTTTACTGAGTTCATTAGCAAAGTTAAGGATCGTTAGGGAGCTCTACTCGCCCTCGCCCTGCTGTAACTCCTTCAATTGCTGTCATCAACCCTTTTAGTCCATAATTCTTTAATGTACTCGTAGGTATTCTTACTGGCATGCGACCACAAATGTCAGCGTGTGGTTGGCGGTTTGTCTGGCGCTGAATGTAAGTATGTAGTGTTTCATGTGTGTGAGTGTCTTTTTTTGGTTATCTTTTGCTGCCCTTCGACAAGGTACTTCTTCCCTTTACTTTTTGGTAGTTGCGACCAAAATTTTTGAAAGTGGATTAATTTATGTTAACTAGAATTAATTTTAAAGCTATTTTTAAGAGAGACAATATAAGGGTCATTAAATTTTTACGATTTTAGTTATATTTAATTATGTTTTAGCACCTGCTTATTGAACTAGAATCCTATACCCATATAATACAAAGAAAACATCGGGATTAACAATACTAATGCTCAGCCTATGCCTAAGTAGATAGATAGCTTTCAAAAGTCATGCACAAACCGATATAGTGGAACCAACAGAAGTGAAACTTCTTAGGCGGCGGTAGCGCAAAAACTGAAAATGTTACATGAGTAAGCGTGGCGCAAGGTGCCGGAATCCAATTCTTATTAGATGGAGAGCGTGATAAGACAATTTGACAATGTCTTTAGTGCCGACCGCAAAGGCGTAGTCGACATTTCGCAGGAAACGAAATCGTTAGCTGCCACGGCCAGAGAGAACAAGTTGAAACCTCAGTAATTCCAAGGTGGAACAGTTTGTGTATCGAACCTCGTCATGATGGGCGTATCTCAATTCTGTGCCGTTACAAATCCGCCACAATCCTGCATTTTGGCAATTGGCGCCACAATAAAGAAGCTTGTCATAGACCCCGATAGCCTGAAAGGTTTCCGTGAAGTCAGCGTTATGAACGTTACCTTAAGTGCAGATCATAGAACTGTTGATGGCGCTGTTGCTGCCAAATGGCTGCAATACTTCCGTGACTTCATAGATGACCCAGAGACAATGATCCTTTAAGTTTAGCATCTCGAAACACCTTCATATAATACACTCGCATTCAGTTAAACGTAATTCATTGTTATGACCAGCGCGTGCGCTCTCGCCATTCATATCCCTGATTGTGTTGTGCTGGCGCTTTCTGCCGTTTCGGTCTACAGTACTTAGCGTACATATGTATGTGTGGGGGCGATTATGTGAAAGTTCTTCTGTCTTTATTTTTTAATTCCAACATAATTGATTTTGAATCAGCTGATATGTGATTGATTTATGAAAATATATTTTTATTTTCTGGTAAAATTTTTTTTAGTTTCACTTTTATTTCAACAAAAAAAAATTTTGATTACAAGAAAAATACCGATAAAAATAAAAATTGTCATAAAAACAGGGTTGAGATCTTTTGAAATTCTTGCCCGTATTGTGTTTGTAAATGAAATATGAGTGGCATTGTGCTACTATGATAGCACAGCCGAGTAATCATAGCCAACTTATGTACAGTAGTCGAAAAAATTATATCCGCACCAAATTTTGACAAGTTTTAAAATATTATTTTTGTTGTTATTTAATTTCGATTAGTTTTTTATAGTTCGTTCTTTACCAACATCCGTATAAATAAAAGTTTAAAGGCAATGTCACACGATTGGGTATTTGCCAAAATTTGGTGTAAATCGTATCACAATTGTTTGAACACCCAAAATATTTTTCATTATCCCAATCACAAAAATTAATTTTTTGAAATTTTTCAATAGAACATCGCTGTATTGTACCAATCTTTTGACTACAAAAAAAAATTGTCCCATTTTTTTAGCAATAGCCTAATATAAAAATTTACAAATCTGTACATATGTACCAATCGAGTGACACTGCCTTAAAAATGTATGCAATTTAAAAAAAAAATTCTACAAATTTTCGTTAAAATTTCAAGTTTTTTAATTAAATTCTGAGTATGCAGTTTTGTAGCCCATTGAATTCTAGTAGAATAAAGTACACGTTTCAAATGGCTAAAAATGTCGATTGATTTTTTAGAATTTTTATAAGTTCGAAATTTGTACGAAAGTTTGTTAATTTTTTTTTTAATATTGCACAAATGAGTAGTCCACTTGCAAATAGCGTTTTGTGATTTTATAATAGTGAGCTATGAATTAAAAAAAAACGTCAACAACAACAAGTAACATCCAAATTGTATATTTCTCTTTATTATCTGAAAATTTGGATAAACAAGAGCCTAATAACATTAAAAAACAATATCGCAGTGTGGTAGTTTTTGCAAATTTTATATATTAAAATTGAATATAGCGAGTTTTGAAACAGAAACTTTTACATAGCTATCTTTTTTTTAGCTTTTCGTGTTCGCTCTTCCATGAAGATTGGTCTGCTTCTTTTTTACGACTACTCCACTAGGCACCGAAAGTACCAATTTTTTTTTTGCAGTTTTCTAAGTTCATCAGACGATGAAGACGTTTGAAAATGTATAAATACATACATAAGTATTATAGCGATTTTTGCATTAGTAGTTAACATTTGATGCTATTTTTTCAGAAAAAAGAAAGATTTTGCACTGTATTGTTAGTGGACATGAAACTATTTTAAATACTGGTACGTTACTCACCAAAAACTAAAAATCTAAAAAAATCTACATAGCGCCTTTGCAAGTGGACTGCTCACACTTGGATACATGGATTTCCACAGGTTTTGTTAAAGAACGAACTATATTTTTATTGAAAAAAAAATAAATATTCAATAACAACAAACAGAATACGTTAAAACTTGGCAAAAAGTGGTTCGGTTGTAATTTTTTGAGCACTGTATGTATTTTTTTTTATATCTTTAATTGGACCTTCACATTGTACATAAAAAAAGTATATAACAAAATTAAGAAATATATGCCTTTTTTTGCATTTTTTAAAGCTCATTTTGCCTTTTTCATGTTTTTCATGTTTTAGGGTTGGCCCTACGGCCTTGGTGGTAATTTAAACAAATAATCCATACAAGTGTAGAGAAATGAGAAATGAAATAAAAAGAAGGAAGTATATAGGAAGGAAGGAGTATAGAGAAGGGGGGGAAAGAAGGAAAGCGACCTCCCATTTTGCCACAGGGCAAAGACGAGTTCGAATTGACGTCGCTCTGGCAAATTCGTTTGGGTGAACTCGAAACGAAGTCGTTTTTTTCCATACAAAATGCAACGTCGTTTTTATTTTATGACTGGGTGGTTTCCTTATTTTTCTTTTTAAGAAATTTAACATCCATCATGTGTACGCTGCTACACACGCCTTTCCTTTACAATATTTTCATATTTTTGTTATAATTCTATTCATTGCAGTGCTGTTTTATATATGAAAGAAAACGTGTTCAAGAGTTCTAGTGCCATCGGAAAATCCTAGCTTTAAAACACAATGCAGCTCTGCACTTGACGACATAAAAAGTGAAAAGCTATTACTAAACTAAAAAGTATAACATCGGTATTTGCTAACGAAAAATGTTTCCAAACACTAACACATACCAGCTCGCGCATAAATTAAAAATTGTATGTTTAAAACTTGCCTCGGAAAATGCGTAATGGCGTGCGTGTCGGAAATTGGAGTTTCCTCTTCCTGAAGTAAATTAAATTGCATTCTGCCAGGTGCATGCATATGCATGTAGATTTTGTAGTAACATTGCACAATCCTAAAATTTTCCGCAATTTACAACAACAAAAAAAACTTCCTCGCCTCTGACGATAAGTTATGGTGCATGCAACTACCGGTGGCGGTGTATGCCGATAATGATTAGATGGCGTTGCAACATAGGCGTAGCTAAATTTACTCGATCATATTTTATGAACACGCAAATTCGTATGCATACTCACACACATATACATTTATATCTATGGATATTAGACTGATTCAAAAAAATCTACACTTTTTTTTTTTAACCACCTCTTCCGGGGGGATGTTAATAGATGCCTGTTGAAAGCGAAACCCTTAATATTAAGTTTAAAAGGTCGCGCCTCGCGGATTTCTTTTTTCATAAAAATTTTTTTTTTCAAATTTGGAGTCTGTTTTCTCTTCCTTCAGTTACACTGTGCCACAATTTTATGACAACTCGAACCAGCCCGGAATTCGCTAATATTTTCTGAAAGTATACATAGCCAGTAATAAAAAACTCGATGGATTTGCAAAAGCTAGCTTGTATTTTAATTTTATAGCAGTATTTAATTAGTCTTCAAAAAAGTGAAAAAAATGGTTGAAGTAAATGCCTGAGTGAAATTACAGGTTAAAAAATGGTTGAAGTAAATGTCAGAGCGAAATTAAGGGTTAAGACATATACAGTAAAATGTCATTGGAAAAATTTTCGTTGGATATTTTAACCCATTAGCTCCCGCCTGAAAAGAAAGAAACCCCGCAAATAGCAAATTTGGAAGTTCGTTAGAGGATTGATATATGTATTCAAGCAAATCAATCTTCGGAATATTTTACTTTACTTTTTTACCAATGTAAAAGTCTCTAAAATATTAAAATTAAAAATCAAAAAAAAAATTTTTTTAACAAATTTATTATTTCTTCTTGGCATATATTTTTTTGTTTTAGTTTTATAGAGACTTTTACATTGGTGGCATGTAGTTTTTGGCTGAGAAGACCCCTAGTGAAATTAAAAAGAAAAAACAAGTGATTTATATGGAAAATAGAAATCCGCGATGCGCGACCTTTAAACTTAATATTAACCCTTCNCCCTTCTGCAATTATTGGCTCGAAATGACCCAATTTTCATGAAACAATTCTTTAGTTACAGAATTAGTTAATTTTAAACAAGCCTCGGCGTTGTTTTAATTTTTGTTTTTTAATTTTTTGTTTGTTTTCTAGAATTCGACAGTGCTTCTGGGTCATTTTGACCCAAACCATTATTTAGAATTTAAGGGCAACTATGAACCGGTAAGCATACAGCACTTGCCGATAAAGATTCTGCATGTGATAAATAAAATATTAACGGAATTCATATTGAAATATCGTTTTTTTTCTTTCTTCAAATTGACTAATTTCTATTATTGAGCCAAAATGACCCGAAACATTATAGGAAGTGGTAAATTCCCAAACAGTGCCGAAGGGTTTGAGGGTTGCCCTTTTAACAGGCATCATGTGAAGTGGTTATTAAAAAAAAATTTCAATTTTTTTGAATCAGTCTAATGGATACGTTTGGATATGTATGTATATATGAATAGCTTCATACACTTATCACTGGCTAGACCGTTATAGCGTTGGAAAATTCCCATAATTTTAACAGCGACTTCCGTGTTAGTTCATAGGTTTTTACTATTTTGCGTGCATGTGCGTGTGCTCTGCGCTCTTAGCCACTTTAACCGCGTCAAATTTCGCCCATTTGGTTGGCTTTCACCGTTTGTGGCTAGCGCAACAGCAGCATAATTCACCACGCGCACAGTGGTGAATTTTCGTTTATGTATAGGTTTTTTTCTTTAAATATACATAGGTAGTACAACAAATAAAACTTTTCATAAACATATTTTTTCGTAGGTTAGGCTTCCGAATTCCTGCCTTTCGGCACAGAGAACTCTAAATACTTCCGAATTAAAAGCGGAAACATGACAGGTCATATGAAGGTTCTAATGAAATTCACAAATGACGCCATAATTCACATAAGCGACGCAAAACTAGGAATTTCACGGTATCTTTTAAGTAAACCCTTGCACCAAACCCGGAGTTAAAGTTTGGAACACTGACGGATGAAAACTTGAAGATGGAAAAACTGGAGCTGGTACATTTGGGAAAAATTTTGAATGATTGACACCAATGGGCAGCTACCCCACCATTTTCCAAGCAGAGATTCATGCGATAGAGATCTGTGGCAGAAAATAGCCCCGGAAGAGGCACAAATTCTGAAAATATCTGCATTACGTCGGACAGTCAGGCTAACTTGCTAGCGCTGAGGCCCCACATAATAACATCAAATTTATTTAGTGTACGACAGCCGGAGCATTCTTAATTCTCTTGGAAGCAAGAGTACAGTATGACTGGGCTGAAATTTTAAAGATATAATTATTTCAAAAAATTATTTTAAAAAATTAGTGAAATGTAGATCAATAAAAT